ATATTCCGTTCAATTGTTGACGGTAAATGTTATTATTGAATGTTTTAAGTATCAGTATGTAATAATGTATATAAATGTCTACATATACTAGATACAAGAAGTGTCGTAAAGTGGATCAAACCACTAAATATTAATTAATTAAATTTTCGAATAAACTTTGCTGGTTCCTACGCTGACGTTTGATAATGAAAGTTGGGTATGGCAGAAGAAGCAAGAAAGTAGAATTCATGCAGTGGAGATGTTGTCCTTGAGGAAAATTTGTGGAATAAAGTAACGACGAAATAAAGACTGAAAAATACAGTAATATTTGAAAGATGTGGCTTGAAACAGGACGCGGTGACTAGAACAGGGAAAGGAATATTGAGGTGGTTTGGGCATGTAGAGCGGATGGATGTAAGAAGAATTACCAAACAGATTTATGACGCGAATGTGGATGGAAATGTGAATCGTTTTAAGAGGACGCCTCAGAAGGACTTACATTGACCACATCAGTGATGTCCTCAAAAAGGCTGGGATCCAAACTGGCAAGAATAAAAGTAGTTGCATGAAAAGGGTATTTGACGTGAGTATGTGAGGCTAGTTAGTTGTGTCAAGATTGAGTAAAGTGGCGTTACGTGGTCTATGCCTAGCGCTCATGTGGGACAAGGTCGTGAGCTTATGTATGTATTTTCGAATTCCGGGTTTCCTGTAATAGTTTTACTGCATCGTAAGTTAAAACACTCACATAGCAAGCTGAATTTTAGAAAAATTCTAGTGGCGCCATGTAAAAAAATGCAGTAGATAACTAACCTTTCATCATATTAAACATTATTTTATAAGCTACAAGCAATAACTTCTTTTAACTAATGCGGATATTGTAGATAGTTTCATTAGCCTAAGACGCAGTAAAATAATTTCCGAAAATGTGTAATTCGAAAAAAAACATTGTTTAATATTTGGTGGCTTTAACCACTCCATTCACTCCTTGTATTTATATTAGAAGTTTATATACTTATTTGGGACACCCTGTTCCGACCATTGGTTATAATATAAATAACACAAACCACCATCGATAACATTAATACCACGAATGTGTAGAAACTGTAGGAAAAGTCGATATTTTCTTAAATTTGCGATTAAAAAGAAAACTGTTGACACATCACACTCCTTCCTCAATATTTAGAATTTAGAGCCAAGGTATTGGTATATATTAAGAATGCAGTTTTGTACGAAGCTTCAGCAAAATGCTGATGACGTAATTAGACAACACACACGACGTCTATAATTAGATAGACGCGCACAAAAAATTTATATTAAAAGTAGAGAGTATTTTACACATTTTAAAGCGCCATACAACATCATAACTTTACGTTTCTAAGGTCATCCCATTTACACTTGTAGCCACAAATCCATCAGTCTTTCCTTACCATTCGGTATAGGCTTCACAAATTGTTAAAATATATATGAAGTATCAAAACATTACTTCATATCGTATAAACGAGATTAAATCTCATTATTTTTATAAATGTAAAATGTATAAAATTTAGAATTTTAAAATGTTCGAATTTTACGTCGGAAAAATAGTTTTTTCTGTTCCCGTTGAGCACAAGTAACAAAGAATCATAGAATTACTTTTGAATATAGTCTTAAGTATGGACCCTTACCAAATTAAAAATGGGAAGTAGAAAATAATGTTATCAACGTTAGACTTAAGCATATAAACGTTGGGTTCTTTTACTTTCTTAAAAAATATACTACAAAATGTATACTCGTCGAAAACTAAAGGTTTTAAATTGAAACCTCCTTCTACTTTACCAAATACGCAATTTTTGTGTCCAAGTTGTTTAAACCTTAGCCTAATCAACATACATAGGCCTTGTAGAAAAATCAGGTAAATATCATAATTTTTCCCTCGCACCTTTAAGACCCTCAAAGGTTCTTCTCGTGAACTCCGAATATATTGTGCTCAAAGCTCGACTTAGCATTAAAACTGACGTCTCAATATTCTCAATACAAATTTAACACTGTGAAAGTCAAATACTTTCAAACGTTTGCCACTGAGTATATTATACAAGTATACATGTTTCCAATAAAAACAAATCAAGTCAGGCTTTGATTGTTCTTACGGAGACAGTAAATGTGTTGTCTGTATGAGAAATATTTAGAAATATCTCGACTTGGCATCTGATACCAATTCTGCCCAAATTTCCGTAACTCTTTGATCTTTTTTGCCTAATTTTAGACTGGCAAGCACATCATTGATCTTTCATTCCATTCTGATATTATATATTTGAAATCCTAACCAGATATATGCAATCTAAATGTGCAGCATACAATTCAAAAATTTAACGTACAGCTTACCGTACTTCTTCTTAAATCTCTTTCAAAATATTCTTTATTATGGCAAATAGCCTAGCACACTCGTATACAAATATTTACACCCATCTATGACTATACTGCTATGCGTTCGAAAAATCCGTTTCAAAGTCCGAATTGCTTTATAAACATGTGCAATCACAAAAAACCTTGGAAATTGTCAAAATTCCCAAGATTATCACAATCCCGAAATTCGGTTTTTATATTATTTCTTAATATTACTTAGATAACTATACACGGCCGCGAAAATGCAGCAAATGGCAAGTATAAATTTTAAGTACCTATTCCATTCAAACTCGACATGATAAATTAGTCTTTTTTCGAAAAGGAACCGTTTTAATTCCTCGATTGCCTATCCTAACATCTTCACAAATCATTCGTCACCTGCTCGTGACATACATACCCCTCAGATATGCATTATTTATCAATAAATACTTATAAACTTACTTGATATTGAATAATGGTATATAAAGTTAAGGAATGGACTTCTTACGACGAAGTGACTACAATGAGTCGTTATGTCTGACGAAGTCCAGTAATTACCGACAAAATTCCTGTTTACCAATTGACACTAGTTAAAATAGATAATGGTATTTTATTTGAAATTTGTGTATCAGTTGTACACATAGTACGTAATTAAATGAATGAATTTGCAACTTCGTTTTCGCAACCTTGGTAACAAGGCATATTTTGATTATTTGGATTCTTTGAAGCTCGATACAAGGTGTTGTTTGAGGTGAGGTTTGATTTTGTTAATATTTTATGGTAGTTTAACTGTTTTAGAGCTTGTGAATTCAATTTTAAATCTTGATCCACACTCATTGTATATATATTTGTATATGTCCATTGTAACGTGTGTTTCATGTGTCTTTTCTTTGTACAATAAAGAATATATACATTGTCATGTTTTGATCATCGATGCAGTCTGATTAGCCTTTTGGTAACAAGTTTTCTTTCAATGGTGTTAGTCAAAATTCTGTCGCTATTGAATTTTCATTTATTTTCCCTTTCTTTCAACTTCAACTTCAACGTCAACTTTTGGGCGTTCATTTGTTATTGATACATCTAAAGATAGATTTTATGGTACTTGATTTAGTTACATTTCCGGGATTTATTAATAACGTGATGTGTTGTGTCTTCTTTAAGCCTTTAGATTTATAGATAGGCCAGCCCTTAATTTTACTCCTGAATGATTGGAAGACATGGTACAAAGCTGCAACTTAGCTCAATTGCGGCCTCTGAGTAAAAGGCTCATTTTGGTGTGGTGGGGGACAATGAGGAAATTCATTATTGAGTAGAGATGGACTTTGACATGGTAGAGGTGGTTGTGGCATTCGCAATGATGGCAAAAAAGTATGGGATGTGCCGCTTTGATTTTGGGCAAACGGTGGAGTGAAAGGTAAGTTTCCAACGAATGGTACGCCATGATTTATTGAAGGCTCTTGATGTACGAATGGTGTTTCACCGTGTGGTAAGCGTTGATTTAAAAAACCGTTATTTTGTAGTGACATTTGATTAGGAGATGTACCTGGATTTACTAGAAGCCCTTGACTAAGCGATGGTGGTACTAATCTTGCACTAAGTGCACTAAGCGAAGGTGCTTGACTGAAAGTCATACCTTGAGCTACTAGAGGCCACTGTGGGCATTGATTAAACAAATGTTGATGTGTTTGTCTTTGAAGACCGTGGTGTTCAAACCAGTGCTTCCACAGGAGATATTGATGCATTAGAAGAATCCATTCGGTCCAGCGGCATAATAAATTTTGAGATGGATTGTAGTGTGGTAGAAGATTGAACTGTGGCGAATTTTGAACCGGCATTGGATTTAAAGGCCCTTGCGTCCATGAATTTCGTTGAAACATTGAATTCTGCATAAAACCTGGTAATGCTGGACCTTGACACCACGGAAACACCTGTTGCAGATGTTCAGTTTGGTTTGGTATTGGACAGCACTGGGTCGTAGTTGCAGTATGTGGATTTTGTGAACTCTTATTGATTGGAGCATTAGGATTTTCAATATTTGAATTTTTATTCAATGTATCGGCCATATTATTTAACGATACTTCTTTAGATGGCGATTCTGAATAAGAATCTTCAGTCGTCGTCGCAAAAGTCGTATTTGATTTCTGTTGCTTTAGTGAATGTAGACATTTGATTTCCATTGTATTTTGTTTGGATAATTTTTCAGCTCTTGTCAAATTTTTTGATAATGGCATGCTCTTCAAGGGATTTTCGAGAATCGTTGTATTGTTTGCAAGACATTCATTAAAGAATTCACCAGTAGGCAAAGGCGAAACGCTGTTTTGTGATATGTTTTGATAACTCAATTCGTCTAAATTTCTTAGTGACATTTCGTCTGGTGATGTTTGATTTGCAAATTGATCCGTGTTAACCATTGTTACGTCATCAATGTTTATTTCCGCATTGTTTATAAAATGTGACTGTAAATCTCGTATGGCAGGAAATGATGCATTAAGTGGTGGATTATTATGGGATTGCGGAGGTGCAAAACACGGTAATGTCTTTTGAGTTCTCCATGACCTTTGATTTGAATGCCACAGCAGTCGAGTCCATTCTTGTACTAATCTGAACAGTTCATTACATTGTGTACTGTCTTGAAATTGAACAGAAAATTGATTGAACAGAAGATTGAAATTGGACAAAGGTAGCAGAAAGCCCGAAGCATCCCAGTGTACCGGACAAATTCGATATTCTAATGGACTATTTGGACCACAAGAACAAGAAAACATGGTATTCAATGTTGGAGTTGGATAAAACAGGTTCCCGTAGGTCAATGTCATTAGTAGAAATAACGGCGCAATCATCTCTAGTGATCTAAATCGACCAATCTGATGTAGCAGTGGAGTGCATAAAGCCATAGTCATAGCATTATATGTCAGGATTTGATTTCTATACTTACAGTATAAAAACCATGAAACAATTAAATCGAACAGATTTATTGGGTAATCAAATGGAATACTGAAATCCCAAGAATGCCATGGGATCATATTATACACAGGTGATGAGGTGATGTGATGAAAAGTATTGCCATAATAATAAATCGGTTGAAACCATGACGTAATTATCTCTACAGGAATTATTCCATTCTCCCGTGGAGAACCTAGGCCCCAATCTTGCCAAGGGATTAAAGTATACCACAGATTCTCTTCATTCAACGAGTTACCTTGATTCAATAGACAATTATAGGTTGAATACAAATTCAACGGCGATTCGGCTCTTTTAATCCACATCTGGTGGATAGTATCACAATTTTCACAATAGATAAGATTTCCCAAAATTATAGCTCCTTGCGGGATTCCTGGGACACTGTGAGGCGAGCCGATCCGTGTGTACGGTTCATTGTTAGCATTAGCCGTAATCAAATAGTAAGTGTAAGCTTGGCGCTATGGAACGTGAACTTGAAAAGATAGCTTGTCCTCAGCGCTAACTCGAGTAGTCAACAGACCGGGGTTCCTTTCGCTGACTCTGCAAATTCAAGAATAATCTCACAATGTGTGTTCATATCTCACATAAAAGGCAAGTGTACAAATAAGTTAATCAAGACAGCACAATTATGCCTTGTTCGGTACAGGACAAATTGTGTATGGCAGTGCAGGCATAGCATGGCAGTATATCGCAATATGTGATAAACCTCCCCGTGACACATTTATTTCAGTTGATAAAGCTATGTTGCCATTGGAAATGAAACTATTTTTCCGGATTTAAATCGTGTATATTTGTTTTTTCAAACAAACCGACGTTTCGGGCCCTTTACAGGTCCCTTGGTCACGGTTGACTATGAGACCTGTAAAAGGCTCGAAACATCTATGTTAAAAAACAAATATACGCGATATAAATACGGAAAAATAGTTTAATTTCCTACGTGTAACAATCGCGAAAACCTAAGAACTCGACATGTTGCCATTATTAAAATTTATTACTTTTGTTGAGAATACTGAATCGGTAAGAAACCCCATTAGAGTCATTCGTTCTTTTATTTGGTAATGAACTATTATTATACATTTTGAAGAACAAGGATTAAGATATTTATAGCATCTTTGTCGTTTAATCATCGCCGCGGAAACGATGAAACAAAAACTGCCGAGTTTTGTTGTTTCAGTTTTTACATATTTCACATTAAATTAGTTGTTATTTACGTATTTCTTATTACTCTCATGTATTGAACTTCATTAAAAATATTCTCCTCACCTTTTTCCAACCATCTGTATATTAATTTGTTTGTTTTTATTATTTCTTTTTATCTCGTTTAGTGCATTCAATTTTTACGTTTATAAAAATACTGTGCATCACTGTCAAAATGTTTTAAAATCAGTTGTGACCTTGCGTCCATGTTTGGCACTGCGATATTCTTTTGCAGCCATTGGTCGCGACCGTCGCGATGGGACAAAAATGTGACGTCACAGTGCTCGCCATGTTAGCTATTGTGATAAAATATTAAATTAAATGTGGATATAGTAGCTTTATCATGGCGGCATTCCACGGGAGCTGGATTAGATACCGTACAAGAGACAATTATGTGGTCAAGATGCGCTTCCAAATATAATGGTATTTAGAAGCACTTCGAAAACAAGGACAATTCTATAATTGAATAATGCATAAACAACAGATCTGAAAATGAACTACAAATGAACACAAGTGCTTACGTAAGGCCTCGTTCTCGAAGTCTTTTTTTCACAGCCGGTTTCACTCTAGGACCTCCACTGCTATGCAGCCCTCGTCCAGTAATAATGTACAAGGTGTGAAATCGGGGGCCTTTGTTGTTAGATTCCCTGAGTTTATGGATATGGGAGTCAAGGAATAAATCAAGGGATTCCTTGGCCTCAGACACGCGGAAATAGTGCAAATCTATATTAGCGTTATCTTGACAATTTTCGGCATGAACCTGTAAAATAGAAAAAAATGAACGTCCAATGCAGGTGCACAGATGAAATATTCGGAAAATCTTGAAAATTAACTATGAAAGAGTGTTAGTGCAATAAAATTGATATCGTACTCACTTGTATGAGGGTAGCTGCGGCCATACTATTGGCGTGTTCGAACTTCTGTTTGTGATAGTTGGCAACATCGTTGAAATAGTTTGCAACTTGAGTCATGCCGCGGCGTACATAACCCTGTGCTTTTTGGTAATTTCTGCAATTGCGAGAATAATATCCGTTTATGATATGCATAGGGCACAATATAACAGATACATATATACAAAGGATATGAAATATTAAGTCAGAGAAGGAAAGCTATAATTCAAATATACTTACAGGTTTCTACTACTCAAATGTCTTGAAGCTTGCTCACGATATTCGTCTACTGTAGCCATAGCCACTTTTTCTCCGCGTGGTAGAAACGGCCATTCTACCTCCGATAGAGACTGAAATTATGCAAACAGGAATTACACCATCTCCAGACAATAAAAATGATAAAATCTACGCATAGTTGCATTCTATAACAAGAAAAGAAAATATAAATATTATTTAAAAATGTACTTGCAAAAATTTTAAAAAGCGAAAGATGATGCACAGATAATTCAAAAATCGACTTGGTTTGCAATAATCGATGACAGACAAAGTGAAGGCACGTAGGAAACAGAACATTACAAAAATTGTCGAATATAGTCATAAAAACAAATTAACATTACATCTTCTTCACTCACTTACCCCGAAGTGAATCATAGACATCTTAAATTCATAGACATCATAATTAAAAATTTACAATAATTACGCCTTGACGTCGAGTTGTGGACACCAGCCCGTTACATCAAGTACCAAGTATCCAAAGATTTACTTGCACATTTCAGAAAATAGGAAGACAATTACCTTCTTTTCTACTTCTAGCAGTTTCTCTTGGCGCTCCATTTCTTTTTGCATCACGAATTTGTTCAGACCATTTTTGGTTTCAAGAATATCTGCTTTTCCAGTTGACATAAGCAGGACCTAAAGCAGATTTAATTATCGGTATAAAGCGGCATAGTCGCACTTTGTGACAAACCTTTTTAAATAAAGAAAACAGAAAATATATTACAGACACAAAATCCTAAAAAGATTTGGCCTTACACTTACCTCAACGGTAGTTTTGAAATTATTATCGTGAGCCATTAGCAATTCAGACAATATATCCTGGGACATTTCAGGAAATAAATTATAAAGCTTGTCCCGAGACAATTTAGCTGCTAAGTCATTGGGTTCTTTGTTTTTCCATTCTGCTACATCTTTATGATATAATGAAAGGGCAAAGTCCATGTCCATAATCTCTTTAAAATCCGGTACTTCCGGTTCTTTTCCCAGTTCAGCTAACTCTGCTTCTTTCTTAGCAAATTGCCTAAAACAGTTTAATGTTATTTGTACACGAATACGTTTACGAACATGTAACAGGAGTACTAATCATAGAGCTTTAGACTTCAACAATAATAATACTATTGAGTGTGAAAGAAATATTCAAGCAATTCATAATAATACTAATTTCCAGAGATAAACTTACCTCGCAAATTCTTCATCTTCTTGTATCATTTTTGCGTCTTGTTCATTATGATCGTCTAACTGATGCATTAAGGATTCCATCCAAAAAGCATTAATTTCTATAAGTAAAGACATGGGTATGTTAATCTTTGGTTCTACTCTTTCAGGATACGTCATCCCAGTCCGACCGAATAGGTTGTCCAGTTGTAAAATGAATTCGGATCCAAGATTGATGTTTACTGTCTTTTCCAGTTCGTCACCACTACTGCAGCTAGACACATCATCGTCACTTCTATAACAAGCAACTTCAGTTTTGGAGGTATTCTGGTGAATATTTTGAGCATCAAATGCGATAGTTGAAGCGGTTTCACTAGGCATATTTGTTTGATGAGGAATGTTTCGTTCCACTTGATTATCGAGTTGAAACTCACCACGTCTAAATTTACGAATTTTCTGTAAATGTTCGGAGTAATGTTCATCTGATATGACAACATTCATTTCTATCTGTCGCTTCAACTCAGCTGCTGCTGCCGCTGACGACTCTGAAGGAGTCACTTTCATTTTCTTTGTCGGCACAATAACACAATTTCGTGGTACTTCTAAATTTGTTCGTTCTATATTGTTAATCGCAAATGCAGAATCGTCAACGTTTGGTGCATTGGAAGAAGCTACGAAAGACAAACATTGTTCTTCATCATCAGACATCTCTGTAGCGTCGTTATTCATTATTTGTAATTGATTGTCGGCCATTCCACCTAAAACTATATCAACAGCCCAATTAACGTCACCACAACATTTATCGAAAATATCTCGCAATGCAGCCTTAGGTATATTTTTGAATAGCTTCCTAAAATCTTTGAAGTGCTTTTCTTCATTTTGGTTCATTTCCATCATGTCATCATTAGTCATGGTACTCTTATCAAGAGTACGTTTATCAGGTATTTTCTCTTTATTTGGAGAAATGTAAAATAAATTAATATCTCTAGGTATAGCTGCGATGATTTTAAAAATTTTTGATGTGTTTTGTAAATCACCGTCTCCAATTTCTACCGAAGTACCAGTCGATTGTCTTTCAACAACCACGTCTGGAATTTGGCTTTCTGGTGACAAACTGTCGTTATTCCACGGCGGCATGTACATAGAAATTTGTCGCCAGTCCTCGCAGCTTCGAACTGCCGTTTCCAACAAATGATCTCTTGGTGTAGATCCTTCTGAATCGTGGTAAATTCTAGAAGGTTTAGGATTTAACTGTGTTGCACTTTCTCTACTCCGCGAAGTATCTTTTGTTTCATCCCAAGCTTCTCCGTTTTCCCAATCTTGCTCTACTTTTTCAAATTCTTCGAGTTGTTTTTGAATTTCTAAATATGTTTTTTGTTTTGCTTCTTCTTCATTAATTGTTTCTTGATTAGTTTCATCTGCTACAACACAATTCGCTGCATCTTGAATGTGTCTGACAAAAACAATTTCTGGGACTGTTGTTTGATCGGTACGAAAAGTTGGTGATGGGTCTACTATACATTTCGTTTGACGAATAGCTTGTGAATGAGGCAAATTTGCTGCAGTGGTCTCTAAATCATGTACTAAAGCTTCAGTATGCGGAGGGTAGTAGGCAGGTACAGTTCTCATCACTGGTGGAACCATATCAGCCGGATATGACAAACCATATTGTTTAATCAAAAATTCACCAGTTAACCCATCTTGGAAGTTATTCAGCATCTTCCGTATCGTATTCGGAGGCACATTATGACTGTTCCTCGTGATTAGCTGGTTATATTTTTTCGCCCAAGGTGTGTTCGGTTCCATAACTTCTATTAAATAACCATTACTGACTCCATCCCTAAGGTACGGCTCCATTTCCCAAGTTTCAACATTTGTGTTATCTACGATGACTGGACTCAAACCTTGGTGTAAAGCACTTCTAACGCGACGCTGATTCCAATCATGAGCTTCAGAAAGTCTCTGCCTTTCATAGATATAAACGCCCCTTGACATAAAATAGTCATCAGTACTGCAAATGTGAGTTTTGTAATCGACTAAAGAAGTACCTATAGTTGCCGCTACAATCTTCTTAGCTAAGTAGGTTTTACCACTACCAGGCACTCCTCTCATTAGAACAAGTACCCTGCTCCCTTGATTGTGATAGGCCACTATTCTTTGGAACTGTTCTGTACAAAATGATTCTTTGGCTTTGGTTTTATTGAGTCTTGGCTGGACTGTTTTTGGTACAGCACCAGTGCTTCTGAAGGCACTAGCATAAGACATTCCCGATTGAGTTGTTAAGGATGCACTGTCACAATTGACTAGAGTGTCTTCTCCTTTACAAGTATTTGCTTCAGTAATTTCAGTTACCATGGGATTAGAAATAGTAGGTATTGGATTTTTTTTTGATATTTGCTGCTGTTGATCCATTTTATTTTCCATCTCTACAGTGGGTGCATCATTTGTTAAGTTCATAATTGCATCTGCTGCTAAGTTTACTGAAAAAAATGAAGAAATTCGATTAACTAAAAAACAAATAAACCAGTGCTATTTAATGTATAAATTATGAATACATGTAAATATAAAATGAGATTAGTTTAGCAGTTAAAAACTGCTAAACTCTAACTCTAACATCATAAATTCTAATAACAGTACATGTATACAGCAATGGGAGGCAGCTATTTACTCAACAAATTAAATTAGGTCATTGATACAAATATTATTCTGGAATTTGTCTGTACTGCAATGGACCAAAGGTAATTACAACAGCAAAAAAAGTACAGCAAATATCCACACTGAATATCAGCATCTGTGAACGTGGAGGCTGATGTGGATGCGGATATAATTTATGTGCATTAGCCAGTTATGCAGATGCTGATATTTGTTACAACCCTGATCTGGGGCCTTACCATGAACTTTACTAAAACGAGCCATTAATGAACAGGTAAATTAGGTTCCCAAATTGAATCGTTAAAATTCGTACTATGACCTAGTTAAAATGATCGCATTCGAAACGCTAACTAGCGAATGAAAGAACGATTTTGTCTCTGGTCCGCTTCTATCTATAGTATATATATATACATATAGGTGTTATTTTTATTTTTCGACTCACAGGGATTTCTAAGAGCCCAATGGACGAAAATAGGAAAGTGGGCTTTGAATTTGCAGACTTCATACATAGTTATCTATACTATAGCAATTGCAGAAAAACTGAAGTTTGTAATTACTCATAGATAGGGTGATACAAAGGGTATCACTATTAGGATTTTCAATAGGTGTTTACTGAAATAATGAACATCTCTAATTAAAACACATATCTATATTATATTATTTCTTTTTGCAATAGCAATTCTTGCATTCGGTGTGGTTTCAAGTTGAGAAAGAGGGATTGTGGAGATGCATCTTCATGATATTTATTCTACTCCTCATCTGGAGCTTCCAAAAACACTGAAACATAAAAAGAGTTTGTGAAGATTCCATTAAGAATATCAGTTCCATATAATTTTAAGAAGTAAACTATGGTGTTTACTGACCTAAAATTTGCCCAGTATTTCTATAAAATTATAGTTCTACATTTTCTTGGCACGAAATAATGGTCTCATCATCCGTGGTGCTCGTTCATAACCAGAATCGCCTGAAACAATTTATAAATAGTTTACTAATACATAGTTGTACTTTTATTAATATTGTTTTTTTTTGTTTCAGGTCAATTGTTATAACTTCTCAATGAATTTAAGTTAAGTCATAAGTATATTTGGAACACGATCAGCCCGGCGCGCGGCGAAGTGACGTGATATGTGAAGTTTGGTTTCAAAATTAGCAAAAATCCACTATTTACTTTTGTCAGTACCAGGCAAAAACTGGTTTTTGAATATGGCAGCCCCCGTTCAAAGTATGTTTTGGCTAGTATAGTTCACACGAGGTATATGACTACTCCTAAGTAAAAAAACAGCTTTAGTCCCGTGCAAAAATAGTCTAAAATTTAGGATTATCCAATGGATTTGTCCGATTTTGTTAGTAAGGATTTGGCTGATATTGAAAGTTACTGACTTAGGATTTAACCATTTCTGTTAATGAAGCACTTGAGATCCACTCTTCCTTTGTCTATGTTCTGTGTAAGTTTATTAGAAAAAAATTTGTGTCTGTGCATGTACTCTGTTGTTGTAGATTCTCTCCTCAGTGAACTTTTTCGGAATTTACCGGTCATTCTTTGAGTTAAAAACACGTGCGTTCCTCAACTTGGCATTGGCGGGTTTACCGATATGGTATCGATGGGGTTCTAACATTATAAAGTAGAAATGCCGCACATAGTCATTTTTACTTGACATTGGTGAAATCATTCGAAATCGTTTGTTTCGATGGAGCCATAGCATTTAAAAGAAGAAGAAGCACTTGAGAGGTAAGGGGTAGCCAATGACTGCCTTGCGAATGGGCAACAGTTTGCTTGTCTATGTGACGAAATTAAAAACTAAAATATTTTTTATAGAAAAAATTAAAAAAAACTAAATTGAAAATATAAAAAACTAAACACTTAAAAATGTTGTCGGTACCGTTAAAATTAGGTCAATATAATTAAATGAGTTGCTTCCTCCAGCATCTCGCACATTTCCTCTTCAATTTCATTTTGTACTTCTGCTGGCCTAGCAAAAATTTCTTCTATGACCACACTAAAAGAAGAAAAAAAAATGTTAGGAGCTAGGAACGCATGTCACCTGAACCTGAGGTCGAGCACCACTGCTTTACGAAAGTTGCAAGTTGTAAACATGAATGACTCGAAAAGTTTACTTAGCAAGCAATTTTTGTATTTGTGACTTTCCATGTCAATTTTAGTTGCGGCCGTTTTTTTGACATTTCAGGCGCAGTTTCTGCTATACACACCTCATTTCCCTCAATAATTTTATTAGTTTTTAGCGAAACTCGGCATAAAGTTCTTCACCCGACTAAATAGCGAAATAAAGAGAAAACAATGTGGCCGACAGGGTCAAACCAAATACTCGAAGTTGATTGGCTGTCCCGAATTTAACTGATGTTGAAATGCAAGTGCGTTCGATTTGACCAATTTTGAAACCAAAAACGTATTTCTGTACCGTTTTTCATAGACTTTACGTGGATTTAGCAAGTTTTGAGAAGCACGAAAATACAGCAGGTTCATTGTTGTGATCCTGGCGTAATATTTAGTTTGAAAAATCAGTTTGATTTGGCCTATTTTGAAACCAAACCTCTCATGTCTTTGATCAACAAGTAACAAGTTCACCCATACCAGCGCCATAAGAGTGATCTATGTACCTAATTGAATTGACTGTAAAATAATACAGTATTTAAAATAATACAAACATAAAATACGTACGCTTGTGAGTCATGACTGTAATGAAACTAGTTTAAATAATTTGAAATAAATACAGATTCATGTAAGGAACTAAGTACAAGTTATTTCTAATCATAAATTTGTGTAGAAGCTGTGTTGTGATTAATTTAATGTGATTGATTCGTGATAATATGATAAATATAATATGTAAGTAGGTAGATAAACTCAAGTATAATAAATATTTCAAATATTTATTTTATTTCATACATACCTAGAAGATAAAATGCCCCACTGTTACTATGCAGGCAGCTTAGTTCTTTCCTTACAATTATCATCATCCTATTCCCCCCATACTTGTCAGTGCAACCTCCTCCATTTCTCACGGTCCATTAGATGACCACAGAATAGTCTCTCCACACTCTTTAACATTTCTTATTTTACTCACTACGAGTATATCGATCTTCTTCTCTTTCCTTCTGTCTTTCCTTCAATTAAAACCTTTATACAAATTTGTCATGCAATAATGTACCTAAGCCCCATACACTTGTTCAGATGTCCAGATGAAGTTTATTGGATGTAAATTCCATGCAAACGAGTTATATGTGCAACACTAGCTTGCATCTATACTAGTGATATTCATATAGCGCAAGGGACAGCAGGGTAGTTATCCGTTCGTGGAGAGAGGCCATGGTGGAGCGGGCGAACTTAACCTTAAATCTTGTCTCTCAGTGGGAAGATGACAATCTGGTGGAGTTCAACGCCACCAAAACGCAGGCCTGTCTGTTTACTGCTAAAAGGAGTCAATTTGATCTGACTCCCATTTTTCGGGGGACAGCCTAGATCTCCTTGGCATAACATTGAGCGCAACCCTTAACATTGGCGTTTATATTGAAAGTAAGGCACAAATTGCAGCCAAAAAGTTGCGTATCCTTAACAGGGTTAAGCGATATTTCACGCCTGGACAGCTCTTAACTTTATACAAAGCACAGGTCCGATCTTGCATGGAGTAGTGCAGTCACCTGTGGGATGGCTCAGCGAAGTATCAACTTGAGGCTCTTGGTTCGATTGAGCGCAGAGCCAGAAGACTTATTGGCAACGTTAAGCTCGAATCTAAAGTTCACAGTTTAGCCCATCGGCGCAAAGTTGCACGTCTGTCAGTTTTTACAGAATATATTTCGGTGAGTGTGTCCATGAGCTCCATCAGCTCATCCCGCCTGCCCCCTTTTACCATGGGACATCCAGACGTACGGCGGGATATCATCCTTACTTGGTCGATATTCCCTTCAGGCGTACTAAGAGCTTTTCATCATCTTTTATTATGCGCACAGCCCCGGAATGGAATTTTCTGCCTGCGTCTGTATTTCTGATTTCATACAACCTGGGTATCTTTAAGGTGCGCATGAATAGGCATCTTCTGGGCAAACTCGTTCCATCGTAGATCCTATCTTTGCTCCAGAGCTAGGTACTTACTTATTTGGTATACTTGGTGTAACGGGCTAGTGTCCGCAACTCGACGTCAAGGCGCCTATTTTGCGTGTGGTGGGTGCAGGGTCCTACACGTGCCACCCAAGCTCCTCCAGGAATCTCAGCAGCCTCCTCGGTTTGCTGAAAACTTCGGGGAGCGACCTTGGCACTCCAAGGTACTTTGCCCTGTAGTTGGCCACGCCGGAGCACTGTAGTAGGATGTGCGCAGCCGTTTCCTCCCCCTCAATGCACGCTCTGCATAGAGGGCTGTCTGTGATACCTAAATTGAAAAGGTGTTTATTGTATGGACCATGACCTGTTAGGGCGGCAGTTAGAGTGCGAAGTTCTTGCCTGTTGAGTTTAATTAATATTCGTGATAGACTGGCATTGAGCGTTGGGAGCCCTCGCCCTCGCCTGTCTACAAACCGTAAGGGTGGTCCATGTATTATTATGTGAAGTTTTTGTACCTTTGTGTATAGTTGTTCTGGACCATTGGTAGGGGAGGGACACTATGGGTTCTGGACCTACTGCGTCCGTCTCCGACCCTTTTCTGGCTAGTTCATCTGCTGCGTCATTGCCACGTGAGCCGCTGTGTCCTTTAATCCACTGTAGAGTTAAGTGGTTTTGTATACATACCTCCATGAGTGCTTCATGGCATTCATAAATGAGCCCTGAGTTTATGTCATAGCTGTTCAGTGCTTGAAGTACTGACATACTGTCAGAGAGTATTCGAATGGAGTGGTTCTTTACAATTCTCGCTATGATTGCTTCTGCCGCCAACTAGATGCCCATGCATTCAGCCTGGAATACTGTGTTGTGGTCACCAAGCGGTGTTGATATCCTGATATTGAGGTCTTCTGAGAATACCCCAGTACCTGTTCCTGAATTTGTTTTAGATCCATCGGTGAAGACGCGGACCTCTCTGGGGTTCAGTCCTTCATTTGGATCTTCAAACAATTGTATCTTATATTTTTTGTCAAAGATGTACTGTTTTGGGATCCTATCCACAGCCGCCTCCAGTAGCGGTTCCTCATTGACTGTCTCATAAAGGATTTCTGTATGTGGGGTCCTCATGTGCTGCCAAAGGGCGGTTCTGTTTAGACGTGCTGCTGTTGACGCCGCTTCCTGTCTGATGAACATTGGGAGGGGTCGCAGGTCCAGCATCGCTTCGAGGGCCGCAGTCGGAGTTGTCCTCATGCAGCCGGTCGTTGCCATGCAAGCCAGTCTTTGGAATTTGTCCAGCTTGTCGGTTGCGGTCGTCACGTCACGTCACGGTGGTTCGTGGCCACCATACTATCGCGCCGTAACTGATCATGGGTCTTATCACCGCTGTGTAGAGCCATAGTGTTATTTTGGGTGAGAGTCCCCATTGTTTACCTACCATTCTATGGCACTGCCAGAAGGTGATAGTGGCTTTTTTAATTTTGTTGTCCAGATGCTCGTTCCAATTCAACTTGTTGTCCAGTATTACTCCCAAGTACTTGACTTCGGTTGATATCTGTAGTTCTGTACTGAAGAGTTTGGGTAGTAGGTAGTTACCCAGTAGTCTTTTGTTTGTAAACATTACTAGTTCCGTCTTTGTTGGGTTTACCGACAGTTCATATGCCCTGCACCATCTTTCCACAGTGCAGCTTGTGTAATGTCGCAGAGTACATTGGCATAATTTCCTGTTACCAGTATAGCTATGTCATCAGCATATCCTACTGTATAGAAATGTTCTTTGTTCAGTTTAATGATGAGGTCATTTACGACTATGTTCCACAGCAGAGGCGACAGTACCCCTCCTTGAGGGCATCCCTTCGCTACTATGGCCCATGGGATCTTATTTGCTGTTGTTTTTATAGTTCTTAATTTTAGCATGTTGCTAATCCAGCTGATGAGCACTTCATCCACTTCGTGCCTCCTCAGTGCTGATTGTATGCTGGAGAAGTTGGTTTTATCGAAGGCTCCTTCAATGTCGATAAAGGTGCCTAGGCAGATTGCTTTGTCTGTGAGTGCCACTTCTATCTTGCCCACAACGGCATTTAGGGCCGATTCAGTGGATTTGCCTTGACTGTATGCATGTTGGTTTCCGTGTAGTGGTATGTTCTTAAGCGCTCCATCCCTCAGTTCTCTGTCACATAACCTTTCTAATGTTTTCAAGAAGAACGATGTGAGGCTGATTGGTCTGAAGGACTTCGCGTCAGTGTAGTCGTTTTTACCTGGTTTCGGTATAAATATGACTTTTACCTCTCGCCAGCTGTAGGGCACATAGCTGAACGCTACACAGACCTGAAAGATGTTGACCAGGTGCTGGACCAGTGTGTCCCCGCCCCATTGTAGGAGTGCGGGGAATACTCCATCTTGGCCCGGAGCTTT